CAAATATCTATTAAAGGTTGTAATTGTGCCCACATCCACCACTTCCTCAGGAAGTTCATTCCACACACGAACCACCCTTTGTGTAAAGAATTTGCCCCTCATGCCTTTTTTAAATCTCTCATCTCTCACCTTAAAAATGTGCCCCCTAGTCTTGAAATCCCCCACCATAGAGAAAAGACACCTACTATTAACCCTATCTATACCCCTCATGATTTTATAAACTTCTATCAGGTCACCTCTTAACCTCCTATGCTCCAGTGAAAGAAGTCCCATTGCATCTAGTCGATGAGAAAAAAATAATGGGGTAAAAAATCAATTTGATTATCTTCTGATTGGAGAATAATGCCCATTTGTGGAGGTCACAGTTTAGGAAGAGCACCACGCTCTTAGAGAAGATCAAGGGAAGACTTAGCTGAGTTGTACCAGGATTGAGGCAGTTCATATGGAGAGACTAAAAAATGCTGGGATTGTTCTCCTTAGGAAAAGGAAGCTGAAGGGGTGACGTAAAAGAGATTTTCAAAAATATGCTGGGAGTATGATGTTATTGCTATTACTGAGACTTGGTTGAGGGAAGGGCAAGATTGGCAACTAAATATCCCAGGATATAGATGCTTCAGGTGGGATAGAGAGGGAGGTAAAAGGGGTGGAGGAGTTGCATTACTGGTCAAAGAGGATATCACAGCTGTGCTGAAGGAGGGCACTATGGAGGACTCGAGCAGTGAGGCAATAGGGGCAGAGCTCAGAAATAGGAAGGGTGCGGTCACAATGTTGGGGCTGTACTAACAACTCCCAACAGCGAGCGTGAGATAGAGGTACAAATATGTAGACAGATTATGGAAAGTTGTAGGAGCAACAGGGTGCTGGTGATGGGAGATTTTAATTTTCCCAACATTGACTGGGATTCACTTAGTGTTAGGGGTTTAGATGGAGCAGAATTTGTAAGGAGCATCCAGGAGAGTTTTCTAGAGCAGTATGTAAATAGTCCAACTCGGGAAGGGGCCATACTGGACCTGATGTTGGGGAATGAGCCCTGCCAGGTGGTTGAAGTTTCAGTAGGGGATTACTTTGGGAATAGTGATCACAATTCTGTAAGTTTTAGAATACTGATGGACAAAGACGAGAGTGGTCCTAAAGGAAGATTGCTGAATTGGGGGAAGGCCAACTATAGCAAAATTTGGCAGGAGCTGGGGAATGTGGATTGGGAGCAGCTGTTTGAGGGTAAATCCACATTTGATATGTGGGAAGCTTTTAAAGAGAGGTTGATTAGAGTGCAGGACAGACATGTCCCTGTGAAAATGAGGGATAGAAAGGGCAAGATTAGGGAACCATGGATGACAGGTGAAATTGTGAGACTAGCAAAGAGGAAAAAGGAAGCATACATAAGATCTAGGCGACTGAAAACAGACGAAGCTTTGGAAGAATATCGGGAAAGTAGGACCAATCTGAAACAAGGAAATAAGAGGACTAAAAGGGGTCATGAAATGTCTTTAGCAAACAGTGTTAAGGAAAATCCCAAAGCCTTTTATTCATACATAAGGAGCAAGAGGGTAACTAGAGAAAGGGTTGGCCCACTCAAGGACAAAGGAGGGAAGTTATGCGAGGAGTCAGAGAAAATGAGTGAGATTCTTAATGAGTACTTTGTGTCGGTATTCACTGAGGAGAGAGACATGACGGATGTTAAGTTAGGGATAGATGTTTGATTACTGTAGGTCAAGTCGGCATAAGGAGGGGGGAAGTGTTGGGTATTCTAAAAGGCATTAGGGTGGACAAGTCCCCAGGTCCAGATGGGATCTATCCCAGGTTACTGAGGGAAGCGAGAGAGGAAATAGCTGGGGAGTTAACAGATATCTTTGCAGCGTCCTTGAGCACGGGTGAGGTCCCGGAGGACTGGAGAATTGCTAATGTTGTCCCCTTGTTTAAGAAGGGTAGCAAGGATAATCCAGGTAATTATAGACCGGTGAGCCTGATGTCAGTGGTGGGGAAGCTGCTGGAGAAGATACTGAGGGATAGGATCTATTTACATTTGGAAGAAAATGGGCTTATTAGTGATAGGCAACATAGTTTTGTGCAGGGACGGTCATGTCTTACCAACTTGATAGAATTCTTTGAGGAAGTGACAAAGTTGATAGATGAGGGAAGGGCTGTAGATGTCATATACGTGGACTTCAGTAAGGTGTTTGATAAGGTTCCCCATGGTAGGCTGATGGAGAAAGTGAAGTCGCATGGGGTCCAGGGTGTACTAGCTAGATGGATAGAGAACTGGCTGGGCAACAGGAGACAGAGAATTGTAGTGGAAGGGAGTTTCTCAAAATGGAGAACTGTGACCAGTGGTGTTCCACAGGGATCCTTGTTGGGACCACTGTTGTTTGTGATATACATAAATGATTTGGAGGAAGGTATAGATGATCTGATTAGCAAGTTTGCAGATGACACTAAGATTGGTGGAGGAGCAGATAGTGAAGGGGACTGTCGGAGAATGCAGCAGAATATAGATAGTTTGGAGAGTTGGGTGGAGAAATGGCAGATGGAATTCAATCCAGGCAAATGCGAGGTGATGCATTTCGGAAGATCCAATTCAAGAGCGAACTATATGGTAAATGGAAAAGCCCAGGGGAAAATTGATGCACAGAGAGATCTGGGTGTTCAGGTCCATTGTACCCTGAAGGTGGCAACGCAGGTCGATAGAGTGGTCAAGAAGGCATACGGCATGCTTTCATTCATCGGACGGGGTATTGAGTACAAGAGTTAGCAGGTCATGTTACAGTTGTATAGGACTTTGATTCGACCACATTTGGAATACTGTGTACAGTTCTGGTCGCCACATTACCAAAAGGATGTGGATGCTTTGGAGAGGGTGCAGAGGAGGTTCACCAGGATGTTGCCTGGTACAGAGGGCGCTAGCTATGAAGAGAGGTTGAGTAGATTAGGATTATTTCCATTAGAAAGACGGAGGTTGAGGGGGGACCTGATTGAGGTCTACAAAATCATGAGAGGTAGAGACAGGGTGGATAGCAAGAAACTTTTTCCCAGAGTCGGGGACTCAATTACTAGGGGTCATGATTTCAAGGTGAGAGGAGAAAAGTTTAAAGGAGATATGCGTGGAAAGTTCTTTACGCAGAGGGTGGTGGGTGCCTGGAACGCGTTGCCAGCGGAGGTGGTAGAGGTGGGCATGATAGCGTCATTTAAGATGTATCTAGACAGATACATGAATGGGCAGGGAGCAGAGGGATACAGATCCTTGGAAAATAGGCGACAGGTTTAGATAGAGGATCAGGATCAGGATCGACGCAGGCTTGGAGGGCCGAAGGGCCTGTTCCTGTGCTGTAATTTTCTTTGTTCTTTGTTCTTTGTATGAGGAGCCTTGATAGAGAAGGAAACTGTGGGTTCAGCTCCAATCTGGAGTATGTTGCCTGAATTTCACCTTGCAGAGATGACCCAACATTCTAGACATCTGAATCACTGAGAATAACTTGTTTCTATCAACATTATCCTATCACTTCATAATTTTAAACATCTTAATCAATCAGCCCATAGTTTACACTTTTCTGAAGAAAATAGCCCTAATTATTCAATATGTGGTTACATTAAATAATTGAATATTATAGAGCTGTGTATAAGTGCTAGCAGTTAGATTCTACCATCAAATATAAGCATGTTGCAAATTTGTTTCTTGTGTCTGGCCAGATATACAGAAGGGCCTGATTTTAGCTCCCTGAAAATTCATTCGCTCACATGAAGTTAAAATAAGGCTTATCAATGTCTTTGAGAGAGAATATATAAATTGTCCTTTCTTTTCCACAGGAAGGCAGGTACATTTTATCGCTTCTTTCTAATCCTAAAACTCTTCAATTTATTAAAAAAAAGTTAAGCTCTTTGAGGACTATGGTGGCTCAGTGATTAGCACTGCTGCCTCACAACACCAGGATCCCAGACCCGATTTCAAGTGTAAGTGCTTTGCCAACAGCTAAGTTGTATCCTGACACATTAAACTCTAAGAGGTTGATCAATTTTTCACATTTTATTATTCCAAGCTGCAAGCTGTTCTTAAGTAAACAGAAACCAGATTTTTTCCATATTTGAGGTTAAGCCAAATGCCAATCTTACATCTCTGTCTGTCTACAGCTAAGGTACTCGGCATACTTTATGATGTTGGTTTCGACATGAGTAAAGTTATATTAAATCCTTGCACTTTAACTGCACAGAGACTGGTTATCCCATCATCAAGTCACCATTTATTTACATAGGCTGTGACCAGCCAGCTCAAAGCCGGTCCCTAGACTGAGGAGACCTTCTGACATTCCTGTTTATATCTGTCAGCCAGGGCTCCCTGATTGGCCCAGGTTAACAACCCCAATCAAGGATCTTGTAGTCAATGAGATGTACCTGATCCTTGTTCCAATCATTGCAATCTGTAAATACAAAAATAACTAAGGATCATAATAGGTCATAGTACTTGCATACAAGAGTATCTATGGCAGTTGTTTTTGTTCCATATGAGCAATTGCCAATCCTCAGGGACATCTCCTAAAAACCTTGGTTAAGGAAGTAAATAAAAGCAAAATACTGTGGATGCTAGAAATCTGAAACAAATGCAGAGAATGCAGGGAAAACCCAACAGGTTTGGCAGCGTCTGTGAGACGAGAAAGAGTCAATGTTTTTCAAGTCCGATATGACTCTTCTTTTGAAGAAGAGTCACACTAGAGTTGAAACATTAACTGTTTCTCTCCAAGATGCTGTCAGACCTGCAGCTATTCCCCAGCATTCTCTCGTTAAGAATGCATTTGCCAAACAGCAACCTTATTCTGAACAGCAGGCTCTTTTTGTTTGTTTGAATGTGGAAATGTACGAACCAGATATCCTGCTGTGGCATTCATGTACAGACAGTAATCCATTGCGTTGCCATTAAATCACTACCATTAAGAGGGCTGTGTGTAAGTTTGATTTCTTTTTTAAGACACTCTTTTAATTCAGATTGTCCTGTTGATTTTCCCCTTATGCAGAAAAACGGTGGGCGAGAAAGCGGTTACACAGAAATGGCAGGTAAGATGCACTTTTCCTTAACTTCGTAGAGCTGGTTGTTGAGATCATTGCCTGAATTTGCTTTAGGTTTTTTAGTTACTTGGTGTACAATCCAGCCCATCAATATCTAAAATCAAGTTGCCATCATCTTACCAGACCAAAGGGCTGCGCTCCCATTAGACAGAGAGACAACTGGTGGTGATTTAACCTGAGAGTCACCGTACCTCACGCAAGGGGAGGAGGTTGAGAAGGAGAGTCCTTGATGATAACCTCAGCCAGTGATGGTTGACAGGTCACACCAATGTGGATGAAATTGTCTCATTGACAGATTAGGTTCTTCCACCTGATATCCCAAATGGTGTGTAATGGAGTATCCTGGTCTCGTAATCTCAAAGAGCCTGACGCCAAAATAATCCGATTCCATTCCTCAACACAGTTCGTGCTCAAATTTTGAGGTTTCGTGTTTGCGGTTAAAAGGCACGAATAGGTCACCTCTGATTTACAAGCCAGTTTTCCTGAACAGTGTTACCACTCGCACTGTACTCAGTGGCTTAAACCTAGCAAAGGGGCTGTTTAGTTGAACTCAAAAAAACTGGTGGATTTTTCATTTTGGTGAATAGAGCAGAGTCCATCAGAGTGATAACATGATTATCAAATCTGGACTGATTTAAGACTGCCTCTCAGGTCACCTTGTGTCAGATATCCAACCCTAAACAGATGTATAACATTCTGAGAGGGCTTGACTGGGCAGAGGCTGAGCGACTCTTATTCCTCTGACTGGAGAGTCAAGAATTAAGCGTTCCCATCTTGAGTTCAGAAACTGGGTGGTTTTAAGGCTGAGATGAGAAGAAATTTCCTTGCTGAAGATCATGTGAATCTTTGGAATTTTTATCTCAGAGGACTGTGTATGTTCAGTCATTAAGTAGATTCAAGAATAAAATGAATACAATTTAAACAAATGAATAAAAAGACCATTGGCCAGTAAAAGAATTGAGATATGGAGTTAGGATGAGAAAGTGAAATTCATATAGAAAATCAGCTGTGATCTTAAACAATGGGACAGCGAGCTTGGAAGGTCTGCACATGCCCCTTTTTCTAATGCTTTATGATCTTGTGCCTAGCTGCAGATATATTTTATGCATTTTGCTTTGCTGCACTGCAGTTTCAATGCTGCAGCAATGTGATGTCACCACTATGCTGGTCATTTCCACAGGGGTCAATCTCTTGTGTTGAAACTGGTGCCTTCCTTATCTGACATTTATAGAATTGCATACTACAATTATCAGGAGAGTCAGATATTTAAAACTAGTTAACATTAACATAACACCTTTTGGATGAAACTCAAACCATAAATCCATTGCAGAATACAGTTTACTATCCACCAAAAGTTCGCAGTTGCTTTCCACCTTGTAATTAATACTAGCAACTACAATAAAGTGTTAGCTGCAATAGTTTTTTGATATGACTTTTTCTCTCTGTTGCAGAAAAGAGAGATCAGCAACTTTGAGTATCTCATGTATCTGAACACTTTGGCAGGGCGAACCTATAATGATCTGATGCAATATCCAGTATTCCCCTGGATACTTGCTGATTATGACTCTGAGGTAAGTGATAAATAGTGCAAGGAGAGAACTTGTATTTATTTATACAGTGACTTTTGTGTCCTTTGGGCAAACATATATTTCATACATCCACACCAGGAATTAATATGGGAATTTAAGTCACTATCATTATGTAGGCAAACACAGGAGCCAATTTAGACATGTAAAGATCCCAGAAGCATCTAATGGTATCGGTGATCAGTTGACTTCCTGCTGGACGATGGGCCAATGGCCTTCCTTGCTTTGTAATGGGGGTGGGTTTGTACCTTCCTATTTTAATTCAATGTAAATCTAGTCTGATTTCATTTGTGTACCCGGAAATTCCAGATACTATGTCACCTACATAAGTACATTTGGATAATCCTCATAATGTAAATTATACTGCCATATTATCCAAACTCAACTGCTCTTTAAATGCGCTCCTAGCTGACTTTACACTCCCCACAAACTTAGTTCATTCAAAATCTTACATGATCTGCAAGCTACACTACCTCAATACTCACTCACCTGTAAAACATGTGTCTGGAGACCTTTGAGAATTAATAGACCTACTTAACTGCTTTCTTCTCTCTCTGCAAACTGTCCTAATTTCTTTAGGAGCCACAGGATTGAAAATGACCTCCTTAATCCATCCGTCCAATCCCAAAGGCTGTGCTTTTCCTCGGACACCATGCTCTAAATCTATCCACCAATCTTAGACTGTGCACCTGCCTTGCCTCCTGACCCCATCTCCTGACAGTGCAAAATATTCAGCACTCATTAGGCAAAGAAGTTAGGAGGTTTATATCGGACTGCTATTGCTTTTCCACTTCTGCTGTAAGTGAGAATTCTTCCCTGCTTGTGTTATCACCATGCACCTTTCCTGCACCACGTTTGATGCCATGTGCTTTTGTTTCTGATCTTACTGCTCAGTTAATCTGTCTCCATGAAGATTTTAAACTGCTTAAAAAGGCTATCACTCCACCACACCCTTTAACTCGGTTTGAAAAATGACCCTTCTTGTAACATGAGTGCCTGAACAGAGTTAATGCTTCAGTTCTCGACTCGAAATGTTAACTCTGCTTTCTCTCCACAGATGCTGCCAGATCTGCTGAGTTTCTCCAGCAGTTTCTGTTTTGGTTTGTTTCACATCTCCTGCATCCGCAGTTCTTTGTTTTATTAACACTTTAATTGTTGTCTCTGTACTCCCAGCAACGCTGCTTCAATGTATAAAGTATTACATATTTTACGTTATTTGCCCAATACTGGAGATGGCAGCAGGTGAAACCTTTCCAGTGTGTGTAAATGTTTGGACCTCCTTCAGTGAATTATCACATGAGCTGTTCGTGGATTGCAAGTATTTCAGTTTGTCCAACATTGGTCTGTTTGGCTCTTGAGTGTTCAAACACTTTTAACATTCTTTTCATCATCATGTTTGTTTTGTACTCCCAGGAGTTGGATCTGAATAATGCAAAGGCATTCCGAGATCTCTCGAAGCCCATGGGGGCACAAAATGAGGAGAGGAAGGAAAAGTTTGTCCAGCGGTATTTTGAAGTAGAAAACGATGGTTAGTATTTTCTGAGGAAATTGGGCTGTTAGACTGATCTGACGAAGTAGATGTCGATAGATCTGGCAGTGGAATCAGGAGTAAGGGGATCTGATTTTAAACCGAGAGCTTATGTTTTTGGGATAAGAATATATTTCACACCAAGCATTGCAAAAGTCTGGAGTTCTCTCCCTGTACTCTGGAGGTCACTGAGAACTAAAACCTAATATTTCTGTTCAGGAAGGGTCGGGATATGTGGAGCGGAGGTGTCTGTGCATAATTAAAGTGTGTTGCAGTCATGAATGATGGAATAAACTTGAGGGGCTGAATGGCCTACCTTTGTTACTAATATTCCCCAGTAACAGAAGGAAGCCTGGCCTTGAATGCAGCTGTTTTGTTTGTAAATCCGTTCACACTGACCTTGCTGGGATTTTGGAGTTTGATCTCTTTTATTCACCCTGTCATTAGCATTCTATAATACATTACTCCTCACCCCACGCACCTTTCTTTCAGTTCCTCACCACTGCGTCAGACTGTTCTCCTTCCCTTGATGGATAGGTTGGACGGTACAACTCTCAAACTCCTCCATGACCTTCAGCAAGGATAATTCAAGGGCTGAGATTTTCTCTTGTGTGTTTTCACAGATCTGGGCATCTCTGCCTGGACCAGCATTTATTGTCCATCCCCAGTTAGCTTTGGGAAGGCTTTTGTGATTAGGCCAGCATGTATTACCTGTTAGTAGTTGCGCTCGAGAAGTTGGTGATGAACTGCCTCTTGAACTGCTCCAGTCCATTTGCTGTAGCTACACCCACAGTGCCTTTAGTGAGAGGGTTCCTCACAAGTTTGATGTGTTCACCTATAACGGGTTTGTGTATCCAGTAATTAACCAGGGTTGGCCACTCTGACAGATCGTTACAACAATAAGAGTTTGGAACAATAATGTCATCTGAACCAAATGTCTAATATCCAATGTCAGGCGGCAAAATTGTAGTTGATGCATCCCTTTCCAATCTTCTGGTTGTTGTTGTACATGTTGTTGCTTTGTTTGGTCGGTGGGCTCAAGATAGCTGTGAATCGAACGTAAGGTTATCCTAGTCTGTACAGCCCACAATTACACTGGACTGTCTACTTCTCTATTAGCTGTTACCATTCAGTTCAACAAATTACAAACAAGTGCCACCTTATATTATCCAAAATAGGTATTGTTTGGGAAGTAAACTGGTTGTAGGTGATCTATGTTTAGAGATATGAGCCATACCAGGTCGCAAAACCCAATTACGGATGGATTTGTTATGGAGCAGATGAAGGCTATTTGACCTATCACCTCCCCTGTACTAGCTCTCCAAATGAACGTTGTGACTTAGTGCCATTTTCCTGCATTTTCTCCAAATCCCTGCACAATGTTTCTAATCAATCTTCTAATAAACTTTTGAACGACTCAGTTGAACCTGCCTCCATCACACTTGCAGGCAATGCGTTCCAGGTCCCAACTACTCACTGCATGAGGTAGTATTTTTTTGCATAATGTTTGTTTCTTTGTATTTCTACTGATGTACAAGTTTTTTTTTTTTGTGTTCGTTCATGGGATGTGGGATTTGATGACTAGGCCAGCAGCTATTGCCCATGTATTGGACATTGGACTGTTTCAGTATCTGAGGCGAAATGTATGGTGTTGAACATTATGCAACCGTCAGCAAACATCCCCACCTCTGACTTTGTGATGGAGGGAACGTCATTAATGATTGGGCCTGGGACATTCCCGAGAGAAACTCCTGCAGCGATGTCCTGGAGCTGACCTGAAACAATCACAATCAGCTTCCTTTGTGTCAGGTATGATTCCAACCAGCGGAGAGATTTTCTTCGCTTCCCATTGATTGGAAATTTTATTGGTAATTTTTTTCCAAATTGTCCTACTGAGTGCAAAGCAACAAGCTTCAAAATATTTTTTTCAGCAATGCTCAAGTTCTGTAAAACCAAATGACAATTTAAAAAGAATGGATCAAACAGGTCAAGCATCAAAGTGGGGTTAACACTTCAGATCAGAAAAGCGAGCTATTGCATGTGAACAGCTCATACTGAAGAACAGCCAGGGAAGAGTGAGATGAGCAAGAATATTTGTCTGGTTATATATTATTAGAAGACAATAAGATAAATTGGAGAAACAAAGTTTGATGTGAGATCCAGTGTCCATGAGAGTAGCTGAGCACAGAAAATAAAGGGAAGCTTGAAAGCTCTTATGAAGCCTGTTCCTTTTGAGCCAGAATATAATGGAAGTAAAAGGCATGAGACCTTCTCTGAGCTGTGTAATAAACAGGAGGCATCCCCATTCCGTACAACAGCCCATCATCCCTTCCCTATCCTTGGTCCTTATTGTAAACCATTCATCTGTAATATCTGGTCCTGATAGGAAATCAATGCTCTGGTATGTTCAGCAGATAACAGGGAACACAACTGAAAGAGGGATGTTTTGCAAAAAATATACAAGGCAGTAGTCAGACCTAAAGTACAATGAACTGTTATGTTCCCTGTATCTAAATATCTGGAATCTGAAGAGTATGAAACCATTGTTGTAATGTAGAAAACATGACCATCAATATGTATCTCACAAAGCCTGTCAAACAGAAATGTGACAATCTGTTCCGATGATGTTGGTTAAAGGATTAATGTATCCAAGACACCTGCCTTGCTCATCTTTGAAACACTGCTGTGGGATCTTTGTGCATCCACTTGAGATATATTCATCTCATTCAAAATACGACACCTCCGACAGCGCATTGATCACTCGGAACTTCACCAAAGGTGCCTCGCTAGATTTTTTTTTTTTTGCTTGAGTCTCTGGCAGTCGGTCAAACAGTCTAAGGAACCCCAGGCCAAGTGTGTGACCCACTGAGGTAACGTGCACAGACATGATTTAGGTTGTGTGAAGACTTTGTAAGCAAATCTATTTTATGCAACCTAACATTGCCCATTCCACCTGCTTTTCATAACCCCATTTTTTAATGTTTCCATATATTTTGAATGTTGCAAATGAAGGAAAAGAGAATGTAGCAATTGTAAGGGCATATCGAGAATAATAACCTTACAACTCGATGCAACAAATTTAATTGGTTTGAATTTATTCCCACATATCTTCCCTAGGCGTTCAATGTTCCAACAAATTAAATTAGAGAGAAAAAAAGCGTTATAATACTCACTGAAATTCTGGATGAGTTTGCAGTTGTGTTTTTTTTCACTTGCCATCTATAATCTAGGTATTAGTGAAGATTGTGCTGTAAATTTATTCTCTAAACTCTTTATTTCTGGTGTGATATATTTCTCTGTTGGCTTGGTCAACACTGAGCACCAACAAGACTCCCAGATATATGCTTAATGATTGTTAAAATACGTGAATACTTGAGATTGGAGTACGGGATGTTCAGATGGAATAATGGTGACTCGTACTTTGTCATGGCTAAACAGGCTAATCTCGGGGTATTCCTGCAGTTTATTGAATTTTGAGTTGACTAATCCACCTACTCACTATGCTGCTCAATTTCCCATCAGAGATTCCACTTCACTTTTCCTGTAGCCTATTTTCTCAGTTGGCGATTCCTATCATCTTATCCAAGTTGTATAGGTCCTCTTCTCAACCAGATATAGCGAGTTATTCTCAGTCTTGTTATTACAGGAACCTCTTCATTCTAGAAATCTGTTAGTTGAAAGCATCAGTGGTCCAGAAATGTTTTGAACAAATAATATCAATCCACCATCATTGGCATCATGTTAGTGCAGTACACTTTGAGTAAAAGGTGGAAAATGGATAAGTAATAGAAATTGTTTCCCTGCTTTATAATGTTTTATCATTGCATGTTTCAGGTAAATATTTATATTGACAGTATTTTTCACACTCGGGGTTAGGCATTCCAGTGCAATTCTACAATCCAGAAAATCCCGAAATTCCTAAGCATTCCGGCCCAGAGAAGTTATCAGTGATTTTGCTGTCCTCTGTTGTTGGCGGATCTGACGCAAATGGTGGCAGGGGGAGAATTAGCCGAGCAGTGAAAGATGACACCTGAAGAGTGGAGACTTCAAAGTTGGATGGTCCAGTGTAGACAACAGCGAGGCTGTGGAGGGGCGATAGCGACGCTGTCATTGTTGATGATGAGCTGGCTCAGGACCTGACGGACTCTCGTTACACTATATCTTTTGGATTTTTTTCTCTCTTATTCTTAAAACTATTCAAAATGGCGCTTGATCATGGCGACAGCGGAAATGCTTTTCACTATATTTTACAGTCATTCTCACTGTAAAATACGCATGGCAATAAAAGAAAAGTTACACAAGCTTCATTCTCTCCTGTCCCATCCTGCTCAGCATTCCAAGCTGGTCGAGCTCCTGATTTTTCTCTGTTTCAGCTCATTTGTCCTCTTCGGCTCCATGCGATTTGATACTCTTTCCCAATAACATTATATTGACACAAATACAAAAGCGAAACCCTGCAGATGCTGCAAATATGAAATAAAAACAGAAAGTGCTAGAAATTCAGCAATAATTGTTGCATTGTATCTTGTCCCTTTACCCAGACTTTCTGCTCAGTCCAGGTGCAGTGTGAATGGTTTGTCAGTAGATCTGTGGAGATGGAAGAAGAGTTCATGTTTGTGCTCATTGCTCAGGCTTACCTCTTAACCTCAGTCTTGATATTTCAGTTGAGCTCATGTCCACAACATTTTGGCAGAGGTGTCAATTCCAGATTTCTATTTCCAACTCTCCAAGGCATCCTTGGACAGCACCTTCCAAACCCATCCAGAAGGTCAAGGGTAACAACAGTGGCTCAGTGGTTACTGCAGTCTCACAGCACCAGGGACCCGGGTTAGACTCCACTTTCGGACGACTGTCTGTGTGGAGTTTGCACATTCTCCCCGTGTCTGTGTGGGTTTCCTCCCACAGTCCAAAGACGTGCAGGCTAGGTGGATTGGCCATGCTAAATTGCTCATGGTTTCCAGGGATGTGCAGGCTAGGTGGCTCTATGATTCTCACCTGCAAGCTCCCCTCCAAGCCACACACCATCTCGACTGGGAACCATGTTGCTCTTCCTTCTGCGTCACTGAATCAAAACCCTGGCACTCCCTCCCTAGCTGTATCAGTGATGCACCTTCATCACAAGGACTGCAGCAGTTCATTGTCGCAGCTGACCAGCACTTTTTCGAAAGTAATCAGGGATGGGCAATAAATGCAGGTTTAACCAGCAATGCGCAGAATGAATGACTAAATGTGTTTTATTAACAATGCAGGTAAAGCAGGGAGGTAGAGTTCAAGTTGAAAGATAGAATAGGTGCATGGAACTATGCTGTGCTTTTCCTGTAAGCTATTCCCAAAGCCAAACCCTATCCAAAAAGAGGTCCAATTCTGTTTGTCGAGTTTTATTTTCTTTAGCCATATCTTTCTGACAAAGTGAAATTGTTTGATCTCTTCCAGGGGACTTAACTGCACGTTGTCACTACTGCACTCACTACTCTTCGGCAATAATTGTTGCTTCGTATCTTGTCCGAATGGAGCCCTTTACCCAGACTTTCTGCTCACTCCAGGTACAGTATCAATGTTTTGTCAGTTTTGGAAACACAGGTCTCTTTAAGGCTTCATCCAGTTCAACACTGTCTGTTCGGGAAGGAAACTGCCACCCTTACCTGGTCTGGCCTCCATGTGACTCCAGACCCACAGGACTTCTTACTGCCCCTTGATGGCACCCTACAAGCCACTCCAATCAGGGAAATAAGGGATGAACAGTAGGGGCTGGCCCAACCGGTGATGCCACATCCTGTGAATGTATTTAAAAAAAGAGCTGAGTTCTTGGGTAGGTCTCTTGTGGTGCAGTGGTATGTTGCTACCTCTGGGTCAGAAGGTGCAGGTTCAAATCCAACCTGCCTCAGACATTGTGTCATATCATAGAATCCCTACAGTGTGGAAATATGCCATTCAGCCCATCACCGGCCCTCCGAAGAGCATCCCACCCAGGCCTGACACTCTACCCAAATCCTGCACTTCCCTGGACACAATGGGTAATTTATTATGCCATTCCACCTAATCTGCACATCCTTGTGGGAGGAAACCAGAGCACCTGGAGGGGACCCACACAGATATAGGGGGAAAAAAGTGCAAACTCCATACAGCTGAGGCTGGAATCAAACCCGGTTCCCTAGCGCTGAGAGGCAGCAGTGCTGACTGCTGAGCCACGGTGCCATCCTATCTGAACAGGCAGATGAAAAATACCTCCAGCCTGGGATGTGCATTGATCTGTAATCACTGTCTGAACTTTAAAGTGTTTGTAATTTGATTAATTGGTTGTCTTGATTGGTGGTGGGTTTATTAAAGTAACTAAACAAAAGGGCTGGGATCTTTGAAAATGAAGAGGGCTGTTTCTTGCCAAGTGGGTGGTAGCCCTTTGGACAGGTAAAAGTGGAAAGTGGTATTTATGTTAAACAAACGATTCACAATAAAATCCCTGTCACTCTCTGAAAGGCGATTGCCGCGTAAATCAAAAGTGCAGATGAATCTGTTAAACCTGTTCTGCAGAGTACACAATGTGTTGACTTTCTCAGGGCCTTCTCCGAGGCTGTTTCTATACTGTTGTTAGAGGATCAAGGCAGACAGCACCTGATGACTAAGTTTACTAGTGGGATGTTGAAATATAAACAAGGAGGTTCCTGGTTTCTATAGCTCGTGGTGTTATCTCAGATACCCCTATTTCTGAAATAACCATCCCTCATGTGTGTAACCTCAGTCGAATGACCTGAACAACAGCACATCCAACATGTACCAATCCCTCAATCAATGCTACCAGGTGATAAGAGAGCCTAAAGGGTTAAATCATGAGGACAGGTTCCCTAATCCTGACTTTGTTTCTCCTTGAGTTTATTGAGTCAGTGTGTGATATGATCATGGTGTTAAAACTGTTATTTGAAAGGATGAACAATTAGTGCTGGCCCGACCAGTGATGCCAAATCTCATGATTGAATGAAAGAAACAGGTTTATTTTTATTTCCTGCTCAACGTGGGCATTGCTGGCAAGGCCAGAATTTGTTGCCCATCTGTAATTGCTCTGGAACCGAAAGATTTGCCAGGCCATTTCAGAGTCAATGCCAGAGCTGTGGATCTGGAATCACGTAGGGTCAGACCAGATAAGGGTGACAGATTTCCTTCCTTGTAGGATGGTAATAAACCAGATGCATTTTTAACGATGATTACTGATCGTTTCACACTCTCCATTATCGAGGCTAGTTCTCAGTTCCAGATATTTTCATTAGTTATTTCATTAATAGTTTTAAATTCCAGCAGCTACCACAATGGGATTTTCACCCATATCCCCAGCGTGTTGGCCTGGGGTTCTTGATTACTTAGCCCAGTGATATTTCCACCGTGTCACCATGTCTACTCGGTTTGAAGTTAGGCCAATTTGAAGGGAGATGGTTTTTAAAAAAAAACTATACAAAGGACAGTGTAAAACCGGAATTCTCTACCACAAAAGGCTGGAGATGGTGGCTCAATTGGGAGTTCTTGAGGCGGAGATTGATAGATCTTTGCTTGGCTGCAGTAGCAAGTGTAAGAATGGCAGGTGACTGGAACGAATCATAGAATGGAACCCAAGGGCCTTGCTGCTGTGAGGCAGCAGTGCTAACCACTGAGCCATCGTAACACCCTCAGGTGTGATCTTAATGAATGACAGAGCAGGAGTGACTTGTTCCTGTGTTCCTGAGCATTGTGACCTTGTCAGCCTAGATAACATGCTGAACTCTCCAAGGTTGGTCTTGAATGTTAGGCCTTCAGATTCCCAGATGAGATTGCTATCTCTGAATCATTCAGCTTAGGCATACAGATCTTACTTAGAGATAGTAGGAACTGCAGATGCTGGAGAATCTGAGATAGCAAGGTGTAGAGCTGGATGAACACAGCAGGCCAAGCAGCATCACAGGAGCAGGAAGGCTGACGTTTC